CATGCAAAACCACTGCAAATGTTGGAGTAACTATGAAGTCTCTACAGCAGTGGTGGGATTCAACCGGTTCGCACCTATTCGGGAGAACCAGTTGGTAACTTTCTAAGCAGTTGGGAGAACCGGTTGTTGGAATAAATCTCCTTTTGGTTTTTTCCATTTTTACAGGGCTAATCCTATAAGGAAGGCAGGAAGGAAACATTCTGGTGTTGTTTCTATTCTAATCTTTATTGCCCTGCTTACAGAAACTGCCTCTCCAGTTAACCCTTATTACCATTGTAACAGCTAAAGCAAAGCGCCCATTGACGTGAGTGACTTTGAGTTGGCTACGCCCACATGGTCACATGACCACTGGTCCATGACTACCCAGCTGGTCATTAGGGCAGAGAACCGGTTGTTGGAATAAATCTCCTTTTGGTTTTTTCCATTTTTACAGGGCTAATCCTATAAGGAAGGCAGGAAGGAAACATTCTGGTGTTGTTTCTATTCTAATCTTTATTGCCCTGCTTACAGAAACTGCCTCTCCAGTTAACCCTTATTACCATTGTAACAGCTAAAGCAAAGCGCCCATTGACGTGAGTGACTTTGAGTTGGCTACGCCCACATGGTCACATGACCACTGGTCCATACCTACCCAGCTGGTCATTAGGGCAGAGAACCGGCTGTTAAATTATTTGAATCCCACCACTGCTCTACAGCAAAAGAGAAATGTTTTTTTAAGGAAAAACAGAATGGTAAAGCAGATGTTATATCTAGAGTAGTTTAGACATCAATAGAGATTTACCCAAAGCATTCAGGAAAATGAAGCAAAGTCATGTTTGTAAATCACTTCGGAAATATAACTTTCAGCTGTTGAAGTCTAAAGTGTGTCCTTCTTATTGTAATGTACAGATTATTTTATTGATAGAAAACCAAAAATAGCAGAGCATAATAATATTTCAAATTATATTCTATATACTTCATCAAATCATTCCATAGTCAATCTGCTTTTCTCATGGTCAACATATTTTTAATGTCTTTATTAAATAAACAGGTTTTTTTTTTTTGCTATTTTAAGAGCAGGGGGAAATACTCACTGGTTTGCAGTCAGTTGGTTTACCATTCATATCAGTAGATGGGGGCATTAGATAATCCCAGTTACGGCCTTTATTAAATGTTATAAGAGTGGTAACTTTTCCATTTATTTTCTGATTAGCCAAAAACACTCCTTTGACACCTTTAACCTATTATTATAAATATAAAATATAGCCAATTAATAAACAACCATCAAATATATACACAATATATTAAGCTTCATTTGCTACTAGTAGAAAAGTGAGCATGTCAATAGCTTGAAATATAACTACTCTCAAAAATGAGGATCTGATCAAGGCAAAAATAAGCTAACTGGAGCTGAAGCAGATTTTGCTGTTATGGGAACAATCTTCCAGTAAATCCCCCTTCCCCCTTCCAAATACACCCAAACAAAGAGAGCAATTGTTTCTTTAGTTATGTTTTGACTCCTAAGCCACAGCCTTTCAGGGGTTGCTCTAATTCTACACTTCAAGGAATTCTCTGTCTCAGTATTCTTATAAAGAACTATTTAATGATATATATATACTGCTGATTGAGGGAATACTGATCTAGATAAAATCTTTTGAAATTCATTTTCATGTGATTGTTCATCACATGAAAGTCACAGCTCTTCCAAACCAGAATATAAAAAAAGCATCTTTCTAAACCAGAAATCTATTTTCCTTGTATGGGTAAATTACCATGAAGTTATGTTGAGCATCCATTGTACCCCATTTTATACTGCTAATTGCTATGTAAGTAAATTATGTTGTAGTATGTAACAGCAGATCATTGAGAGATAACATTTTCTCTTCCCAACAGAAAGATTTTTAAAAAATCAATTGGAGGTGTTCAACTTTTGGTTATTGAAGAGATTAAAATGTTCTAGTCAAACATAGTAATTAGGTAGGTGGTTAATATTTTTAGTCACATAGGTTTAGGTATTCTTCGATTTATGCAGTATTAAACCCTTATCCTATAAATATTGTTGAGATTTCATGTTAAGAACTAATCCCTTTAAGATACATGGATGTGTAGGTTTAGTCATCTGACTGACCACATACAACAATCCTGTCATACACCAAACCAATTCCCTGTGGAGGTAAAACATCTTCTTGTTCCAACAGCTTATACATGAAGGAAAAGACGACTCTTTCAGACAAATATTCTTGGTCACTCTAAGATAGCGCATGGCTGAGACAGGATAGATGGTATGTCAATCATTCCAGGTAAACGTGACAGGAAAGATGACTAGATGAGTCAATTGTGCTTCATTGTAATGCTACATTAGCAGACTCTGGCAACTGTGAAGGTACAAAAGCCACTCATTTTAACTGCTTGATCAATTAGCGGAGAGTCCTTCCTAAGTTTCTTTCTCTGCCTGTTAAGCCATTTCTGCCTCTCTTGTCTGATTGTTTCTTAAGCAGCACTTCTTCTGCTCATTCCCCCAAGGTTATCCACCCATTCCATTACAGGGCCAAAGAAAGAGGGAAGTTATCTCTTCAAGAGTTCTCTACCTATGTGTTAAAATACAACTGAAGGCCCCTTAATATGTGACGGCACACATCTTTTTGAAAGGCAAATAGGCAATTCATTATTTGTAATAATTAATGGGCTACATATGTCTAGACCAGGGGTGTCAAACTGGATTTCTTAGAGGACCAGATGAGCATTGTAGGTCTCCTCCACAGGCCAGTGGGGGGTGGGTGGGAAGTGGGAGCCTTGCAGAGGCCCTGCAAGGCCTCTGCACAGCCCGTTTTTGGCCGGCAGAGTGCTGCTGGAGGCTGGAGAGGCTGAAAACAGGCCAAAAGGGGCACACATGGCACATTTTGGCCAACAGAGGCACCGCAGGCCAGTCCTTTGATATTTTCAGGCAGCCCTTGCAGGCCGGATTTAAGCACCACACAGGTTGGATCCGGCCAGCAGGCATTATGTTTGACACCTCTGGTCTAGATTGACAGTGTGTACACTATACATCTGGCATGCATTTTGCCGCATAAATGTGATTTAATTATATATGTAGACAGATATATGTATACACTAATAAAATTTGTAGATTGAATACGTCCCAGAAAGGCAGTTAATTAATAGTTATGCAGCCTCAGTTGTCAAAAATATACATAAAAATAAAGAGGAATACCTTTTTCCCTTTTATTTTTAATATATATATATATATA